GGATTGTCTCAAGGCACAAGGCTGGGAAAGGTTACAGAAAAATTTCTGCTGCTTCAGTTCTAATGAGCACTGAGGCATCCATCATTCGTAAGTGGAAGATGTTTGAAACCACCAGGACTCTTCCTAGAGCTGGCCGGCCATCTAAATTGAGTGATCCGGGGAGAAGGACCCGATGGTCACTCTGTCTGAGCTCCTGCATTCTTCTGTGGAGAGACGAGAACCTTACAGAAGGACAACCATTTGTTGGGCCTGGGAACCAACTAGGCGAGTTGACCTGACTGTGATTTTGTTATATAATGCATAAATTTTGCAAAAAGGATCAAGTATTTAGTTACACAGTGGCTCAGTGGTTGGCACTGTTGCTTCACAGCAAGAAGTTTGCTGGTTCAAGTCTCAGCTGGGTCAGTTGGCATTTCTGTGTGGAGTTTGCATCTTCTCCCCATGTTCACATGGGTTTTCACCGGGTGCTTCGGTTTCCCCCACAGTCAAGGTAGTAAATTGAATAAACTAAATTGGCCATAGTGCATTTGTGTGCATGTGAGACAGTATGGGTGTTTCCCAGTACTGGGTTGCAGCTGGAACGGCATCTACTGGGTAAAACATGTTGGACATAAGTTGGCAGTTCATTCCACTGTGGTGACCCCTGATGAATACTAAGCTGAAGCAAAATGAATGAATGAGTATCAATGTGGGATAATAGAGAAAATTTCTCAATCTGTTGTTTTGGGATAGATAGATAGATAGATAGATAGATAGATAGATAGATAGATAGATAGATAGATAGATAGATAGATAGATAGATAGATAGATAGATAGATAGGTAGGTAGGTAGGTAGGTAGGTAGGTAGGTAGGTAGGTAGGCAGGCAGGCAGGCAGGCAGGCAGGCAGGCAGGCAGGCAGGCAGGCAGGCAGGCAGGCAGGCAGGCAGGCAGGCAGGCAGGCAGGCAGACAGACAGACAGACAGACAGACAGACAGACAGACAGACAGACAGACAGACAGACAGACAGACAGATAGATAGATAGATAGATGCCACAATGATTCAATATCATTGAACACTTCATGTCTTTGTGCTTGTGTGATTTTTGCTATACTTTGTGTTTGCGTGATTTAAACATACTCTTGTTTCTATGTTAGCTCATGTCTTGTAACACAGCCTCAGAGATTGTAGCACCTCACACTCCTCCCCAAAGCTGTTAAACTAAGCTCACACTCAGCCCCATTCTCCTCCATGTTGTTTAAGCGGGAAGAGAGTCTGTAATTAAAAATCAAGAGAAGCCACAGTCGAGAGTCATAATCACCATTATTATCATTAGTGTAGAGATGAAAGTACCCTTAAATTTCAAGTGCTGCAGACCTCCGTCTGTTCAATTAGTCTAAAAGAGTGTGTGTTTACGTGCGTGTATTCATGTGTGTTTGCAAATGTCTGGCTTGTGTAGAATTTGGAAGAAGTAGACCTGCCTTTTAAAAATCCAACCCAACCAGAATGATGTTTGGTTAAAATTTGTATTTGTATGTGTACAAATTACACAAAAACACACACTCCCCAGAACATCCTACGGCATTTCTAATCTGTCGCAGTGAGAGATGACTGTTAAACGCACCAGCAGTTTTTAATATGTGTAGGTCACGTGTCATTTGCCCTCTCTGTTCTCTCATATACTGAATTAAGGTCTAACTCCACACATTTTTATGATTTGACTCTCTTCCGGATGTGGTATGAGGCGTATCTGACATGCCTGTGATTTCCCATGTGCCCAATGACTGTTTGTTTCCTGTCACACTCCCATTCTGCTTATCGGCCCGTGTGTAATGATGGCTTCTTGAACAGCTGTATTAAAGAAGAGGTTATGCGTGGTTATCAGATTATGACTATTTCATTTCCTCAAAGCAGAAATGTGCTGACAGTTAATAAAACATCAAGATATAACACATTTCAATTGTAAGCCAGTCTAATATATTTCTCCCTTATGGCTCTGTATGACCTATGCCAAGTGATGTCAGGTAAAATAGACCAGACAGGGTTTGGCGTGTTAAAGTTCTTTACGCTACAATAGATATTTACAGGTTACTATTTTGAACTAGCCTCTAAGTAGTATTTTTAATGTATAGTTCATTTAAAATTGTCACGGGACTGTGAGTATAAAAAATCATGAGGAATCAAATGCAGGAAAAACAAGTATTTATTACTTCAGTGGCCTGCACAGGGGATAGAATACAACAAAAAAATCCCAGCACGGCGTGCTGTAAATGCCACAAAATGCACAAAAATTCTGGCAAAAAATGAAGTAAAAAGGTTCAACAGAGGGCGCACAGCGATCCAAAGTCGCCAGTCAAATAAGGCCAAAAAGACAAAGTGGATATTAACAGGCAATACTCAAAGAGTCCGACAGGGTGCGCACGGCGATCCAATTCGCCAGTCAATAACGGACCATGAAAAAACTAAGGTAAAGGGCAATACTAAGTGCATCCACCACGACAAGCAGTGAGGGTGATCTGATGAAAGGAGAAAAAAAAGGAAAAGGTCCAAACCACAAAAATCTAAATCAAAACTGGCACTGGAGTCAAAATGGTTACGAGACTAGACAGGACAAGATCTAAGAGACCAACGCATGAGGTAAACATACACTAACGACCAGCTACAAGACAATGAGAGTGAGAAGAATAAATAGGGAGGCTAATAAGGATAAGACTAGAGACAGGTGCGAATAATGAAATAATGATCTAATGAGTAAACTGATGAGTGGGTGGAGTGAGGCAGTGGAGCACATGGCGAGCTGTCAAAACAATGCCATGTGCTCCGAGAAAATGTGACAACATGCAGGTGACAGACCATGACAAATAATGACTTTAAAAATTACTATTTAAAATGCTTTAATGGTTGAACCTAGGATCCAGAAGGAATCTGTCTCGTGAGCTGTCTCGTCCCTGTATGAACAGAGAAGGAGTTTGGTTCGCACTGCAGGCAATAAGTCAGACTTGTTTCCAGTGTACACTCAAAAAAATGATTTGTTGGACTTACATAAAAAAAGAGTGTCAAGTGGTTCCACGTAACTGTGTTGAGTAGTTTCTACAAGTAACAATATAGTTGAATGAGCTAAAGAAATTCAGGTTAAGTTTACAAAATATTCCTTAGTACATACAACCCAATTTAGATGTGTCATTATTACATTTTAGTTATATGTATATTTTACTTAGTAATGTTATGTAAAAATGATGAACTTTCAATATGTAAGGTGAACACTTTCTTTTCTTTTTATTCACTTTTAAAGTATTTGCTCTACAAGTGTAAAACCTAAATAATCAAACATTTTTAGAAACAAAATGAATTTATTTTTTGCAAGGTTTTGCAATATACAACACCTAAAATACATAAAACAATTTCAATTTCACAGGTCCTTTGAAACAAAGACACAAAAACAAAGGATTTACAGTAAACATGTACAAGGTCTTTTAAAGTGTAACTGGCTTTAAGAATTTGAAATAATCTTAATTTGAAAAATTAAATACATGGAATGTTAAAATACTGCTAAACTCTATTTCTGATCTTTACAATGAATAGTAAGTAACATTCAAACTGGCCTCGATTTTTGTAAACATCCACAATAGTTGAAATAGCAGTTTGAAGAGGATTTTTTTAAAACACTTTGGTCAATAGTGAACATTCTTACAATGTGCTACTTCCTTCAAATATTGTAAGAATTTACAAAAGAAAATGTGTAAGGACATTTTTTTTTAATACTGTCATGAAATGCTACATTGCTTAATTGCTGATATTTTAAAATGTTTAAGCGATTGTTAAAGTATACAACTGGCCTCTTTTTATGACAACCCCCACCAAAATAACATTTTGTTAAAAAAAAAAAACAGAAAAAAACACGAAAAAAAAAAGTTTATTATTGACCAAAATGTTATTTTACTATATGCAACTGAAAACAATACATTTTACTTGGAAAGAGAAAAGCAAAGTTTAAGGCAGGCGGCATGACACAAACTGCTACAGTGTTCAATTTTGGATATCTGAAATCGTTCGAGCCATTAGTTAAGAAAATATTAAAACTGACCTCTAATCTTTGTAAATAACCAAACCATTTAGCCATTTATAGTTGCAGAACTTCATTTAAAACTTTGGTGCCATCAACAAAGATAACATCACATTAATTTTAAAACTAGAAACAATTTAAATGTCACAAAAAAGCTTCTTCCTCTGTTTTTTTTCATTTGTCCAGAATGATGTACTGATTCAGCCAAGTTTGTTCTTAATTTCTTCAAGTCCCAGCAACACTTTCTGGAAAAACTCAGGTGTATTTCAGGTTTGAAGGATAACTGAGACTCAAGCTGTATATGACTCCCAAAAAAAGAGCACAAGCCTTGGTGACATCGCCAAGGTTCTGAAGCACTTTCACTCCCTCAACAATCACCTGATGGTGGGTCACAGGCTTCTGCACCTTCAGGTCTGACGATGTAGATTACAAATGAGAGTATTGGCCATGTCTCTCTCTCTCTCTCTCTCTCTCTCTCAGAATTTTCAAAGTCTGTGTCCTATAAAACATAAAAACAGTACCACTGTTAAGTCAGTTTAATTCCATAAAAAATACAGATTGTAAATTTAGTGAATTTTGTATCAACTGTCTATTCCTCAATCTTTCACATAACACCCCTGCAGTGACTTACAAAACAACTTTACTGTGTTTGTTAGGGTTAGTCTGTACTTTTGATAACCCCAAGTTAAATATACTTTGTGTATTGATATTCCTTGATTATATTATGTCAATTTATGTGGTGGCATTTTAAACATTCACTGCTTGAAAACACTTACAGTATACTCCTTCATGAGGTTTTCATAATCTTCATTAAGATACACAGAAAATTCTCTGAGAATGCAAGCTCTCCGAGTTGAGATGGAATCATTCTGTAGAAGAGACATTAAGTATAAACAATGATAAAACACCATACTAAAGTGGAAATTATTTAAAAGCATTATAAAATAAGTTAACAAACCTCATCAATGGTAGCCATCACTTTCCAAATATTATGCCCTGCAATTCATAAAGGTAAAGTTGGTTTTATACTTGGATATAAAGACATTATATTATTAAGGAGAATTTCAGGAAAAGTATTCTTTGCTAATTCTAAATAGGGAAATAGCAGCAAATGACTATCAAAGTACAACATTGTTCAGATTGAATTAGACCCGTGTTAATGTTGTTTAGAAGTCATACATGCATGATAATTCTGATCGAATATTCAATGTAACATGGTAAAAAATATAGAGACTGCTAAATGATTGAATGTGCGAATATAAAACCAATGTTATCTCTATCTGCAATTCCTATAGAAGTAAAGTTGGTTTTATATTCGCACATTTGTTTACTTAGCTGTCTCTATATTGTTTACCATGTTACGTTGAATATTCGAACAGAATTAGCATGGGAGTATGAACTGAAAACAACACTAACACTATTTATTTGACTGTGAACAATTTTGTACTTTGATAGAAATTTACTGCTAATATGATTTTGCTATTTTGAGTTTGCAAATAATACTTTTATGAAATTATATTATTAAGGGAAAGTCTGAATGTGCGAATATAAAACCAACTTTACCTCTATGCAATTCCTCCTTCTCTACGGGAGATGCTGGCCAGCTTGCTGGAGTAACTATCCAGTTTTGACATGTTTGAATTAGTGGGACAGAAGTGATTCAACTGAATTCAGCAGCAATCTGTAGATTTAAGACACAAGATTATAGTAAAGATAGCTTTCATACAAGGCACTGTATCACTGTTTGTTAGGTGGTTATGCATGTTACTAAAAATATTTCTGACTATATTGCTGCAAGAACACGCATGGCAATTGAACTTGGCTAGTGTTACATTTGGATGTAACCCAGTGTTCTCATTTGCTTGGACAGAGGTAAAGTTGGTTTTATATTTGCACATTCGGACTTAATAATAAAATTTAATAAAAGTATTATTTGCAAACCCTAAATAGCGAAATCATATTTGCAGCCAATGACTATCAAAGTACATTTTTCACAGTCAAATAAACAGTGTTAATTTTATTTTCAAGTTATACTTGCATGGTAATTCTGATCGAATAACTCAAAGTAACATGGTAAACAATAGAGACTTCTAAATGAACGAATGTGCAACTATAAAACCAACTTTACCTCTATCTACAATTAAGATGGCTGTGTAGCCAATTCCATGTTTTAAATCTACAGAGAAACTCGGAATAAGTGCATAAAAATGCGACCATAATATCTATGCACTAATCTAGTCGTGACAGTTATTTTGCACTGCCAAATGCTTTCCTTGAGAAACACGAGTCAGTATAGCTAGCTAAAACTTAAAAGATTCCGAAATACACTGATAACATAAAATGACATAATTCTGTGAACACTTTTCCTAGCGATATTTAACAGTAAAGAGTTATAAAATACTCTTACCTGACAAAGCCACCATCTTCTCCTCCTCAATGTGCTTTCCACGTTCGTCTGCCCGGTGCTCCGCCCATAGGTAAGCTACGGTATCCGCAAATATCCAAACTTAAGAGGGTTTTGCGATTTACTCCACAATGTTAAGTTGTCCAGTCAAACCCTTATTAGGTAAAGCCCACAGTACTCAATTGTTGTAGAAATAACGTAGTTAACTTGTGTAAAATGAATTACTTTTATGTTTTATGTAATGTGAACAAGGATGGGTATAGTAAAACTAACAATAGGGAAAGTTCATTTTTTTGAGTGTATGTTGGACTCCGGCTGGGCTGCCCTTTGTCAGCAATTCTGTTCATAATTTTTATTTGGTATAACTGCAGTTTTGGGCTGGAGAGGGTCCAGTTCAAAGACCACAGTATCTCATCTCTGTTAGTGACAGACAATGTTTTTCTGTTGGCTTCATTGAACATGGACCTTCAGCATGCACTGGGGCGGTTTGCTACCGAGTATAACGCGGCTGGCATGAGAATCAGCACCTCCAAGTCCGAGGTAGAGGTCTGCATTCCTGCGGCTGTCCCGCGGGAGCCACAGGACCCCACCAGATTTCTGCGGCACGGGAACAAATTTCAGAATAAAGCGGGAGCAGTCGGTAACGGGTTTTATTTGGGACGGGAGCGGGCGTCTAGCAATATCGCTTCCGACTCCCGAGCGAGCATGCGTATGTATGTGTGTAAATGAAATAGCGCGATGCTGAGTTTAGCTTGTTGTCACTATATATATATATATGTGTGTGGGTGTGTGTGTGTGTGTGTGTGTGTGTGTGTGTGTGTGTGTGTGTGTGTATACAAGACACACTTGCTGTGTCACAATTCTCATACTATTCATCCTAAATAGTATTTGAAAATAGAATTAGTGTGTTCCAAAACTTAGCAATGTTCAAAAGAGTGTGCCAGAGGTTACCTCAAAGTGTTGAACCATCCGCACTCTAATCCTACAGCTAATATTGCTCATAATACATTGCGAGTTGGACATAGGTAAAAACTGTAAATGGATTACAAACATGCTAGCAAGACAAACCGTCAAGTAGAGAGGCTTCTGTTAATGTGTTTGACTGACTATTAATTAACATGTAGCCAACTAGGAAATATTTGATCCACATTGTCAGTGTTATATTTCATCTATAATAACAGTGTAAACTTTAATAAAGACATGTTTAGACATTAACTTCTAAATGTATAAATATCCAAAGACCTCAGGAGATTTATCTACATGAAAGAGTCACAAATGGCAGATTAACATGCGTCTGAGTATTGATTAAGGTAAGAAATTAAATATGAAAGAAACCTGGATGATGTGACTGACAGGGAATTAACACTATAGTATGACAGACCCTGGTTTTTGTACTAAGTCAATGCCACTTCTGGGCACTGTTAACATAAGGCTTCGTTTTGGCACAGTACAGATTTAACTGGTATTTGTGAATGTAATAATGTATTGTGGTACATGCCATAGGTTTGCCAAAGTAGTCCCGAGCCCCATGTGGTGATATTACTTATATGAGGAGCCTTGATGCAATGCCTGGAATCATGGTAGTTCTTAGGCTTGTGCCCTTGTCCTTTACGCACTGACATTCCTCTAGATTCCTTGAATATTTTAATTATGTTATACACTGTTGTTAAAGGTTACTTAACCAAATGACTTCATATCTCTCTTTGAGGAACATTGTTTTTAAACATTTCAATCATTTTCTCATGAATTTGTTGTAAAACTGGCAATCCTCAGCCCATATTTGCTCCTAAACCAGACCTTTCTTGGATGTTTGATTTTGTAACAAACCATGTTTCAAATCTCATTATTTAGCCAGTTACCTGATTACTAGCCCTAAATGTGTGGAATGTCTGAATTACAGGATATTTACAATTGAAATGATAAAACTGCTTGAGAAACTGTTCAATTATGATAATTGGTGATGAAAATAAATTATGTTCAATAAAATGTAATTCTGTTCAGTATGTGTTTATTCAGTTAAACATTAATTTCGTACGGGCGAGGCAGTGGCGCAGTAGGTAGTGCTGTCGCCTCACAGCAAGAAGGTCGATGGGTCACTGTTTCGAATCTAGGCTCAGTTGGCGTTTCTGTGTGAAGTTTGCATGTTCTCCCTGGCTTTGAATGGGTTTCCTCCAGGTGCTCCGATTTCCCCCACAGTCCAAAGACATGCGGTACAGGTGAATTGGGTAGGCTAAATTGTCCGTAGTGTATGAGTATGTGTGTGTGGATGTTTCCCAGAGATGGGTTGCGGCTGGAAGGGCATCCGCTGTGTAAAAACTTGCTGGATAAGTTGGTGGTTCATTCTGCTGTGGCAAACCCAGATTAATAAAGGGACTAACCCGACAAGAAAATGAATGAATGAATGAATTTTGTACTGTAGGCCTACAAAAGCTTGAAACAGTGATTTTTATTCTGACTAAAGGCATAACTGAACTAAACAGAAATGGAATTATAAGGCATGTATGCATATATTAGTGGCATTATTAAAGTAAACAACGCAATCAACTATTACTGTCATGTAGAACTTTTTGCCATATTTTCCAACAAGATACACACACACAGCTGTCAGTAAAGCACACACACACACATCGCGAAATGCGGAAGTTTTTTTTTTGTGTGTGTGTCCATTTATTGTGCGTTATAAAATTCCATAACACTCTTCCACCAGTCCTTACTCCTTATTTGCGTCTAATACCCCAGTTTGTCACTGGAGCATGAATGAAATGTTCATGAGTGAATGTGAAACTGCTGGACTGCAATTAAAATCACTCAAAATTACAGGAAACTCTTACATGAAAGCCCATCACATCAACAAAACTTAATTATATTATTGTCTATTAAGACAAATAACTAGATCAGGGGTGGCCAACCTTGTTCCTGGAGAGCCACCTTCCTGCAGATTTCAGTTGCAACCCATTTCAAACATACCTGCCTGTAATTATCACATTGTGTTCAGGTCCTAATTAATTGGTTCAGGTGTGTTTGATATGGGTAGCAACTAAAATCTGCAGGAAGGTGGCTCTCCAGGAACAAGACTGGCCACCCCTGAACTAGATTACAGATGTCCATGTAAGTGTCTTTGAAGTACTGTAAGTGTAAGATCCAGAAGGGCATCATGCGTTTTTGTCAGACGGCTCACCGGTCAGGTATACATCAGTGCTAAAATATCAAGGTGAAAGTCATTATAGCTTGCATAGAATAGACCCAGCTCCCAACCCCGCAGCACGTTAATGCCAATAACAGCCCACCACTAATATATATATATATATATATATATATATATATATATATATATATATATATATATATATATATATATATATATATTTATATGGATAGATAAATAGATAGATAGATAGATAGATAGATAGATAGATAGATAGATAGATAGATAGATAGATACGTATTTTTTCCGTCAATCACAAATTCTACTTTTTCTCAGTCAATGTAATCCTTCACTACCTCATACGCACATCTTGATAAATTTGTTATAATGTCATAATTTGTTTCTAGCAGCTTCATGTTATAACTAATAATTATTATTTAATAATAATTATTTTTTAACAGTATATACATTTGCTGTATAAATTTACTGTTGTATAATGTGGTATGTGTTGTATGTATGTATCTATCTTTGCATGTATGTATTATTTATTTGTTTATTTCCAACACTGTTATCATTAGAGACAACTTTTTTTTTTTTTTTTTTTTTTTTTTTTTTACAGGAACAATACAGAAAAGTAGTCTTTTCATCTTGCGAGAAGTACAGGTTGAGTAGGGGTTTAAAACATAAACCCCATATATTCATATAAAGCATAAATCAATACATTTGTATGTTATACTATTTAATATAATACATTTTTTTTATTATAATTTATTTTTAGGTTTATTGTATTGATAGCATTGCCAAAGGTTTTGGGACCAAGTTTGAAGCTGTGGGCAAACTTTATCCTAGATTAAGATTATGATGTAATTAAGGTTTATGTGCATGTAATGGAAGTAGTCCCAAAACATTTACAATATAGTGGGTGTTTCTATGTAATCCAAGTACCTTAAAATACACTGTTGGATGACTGAAAAATATTCTATGTTTTAAACGTCACATACTTTTGAAAACACAGTTAATTCAATTTCTTATATTATGTGAAAGCTATTAATCTGATATTCCAATCTTTTTTTAGCACTGCAAACCCAATGAGTTGGTCTCCAGGGTGTTTAAAACCCTGTTTTGTTAAATATGTCTGGCACAAGTATGGATTTAAATATTGAGACTTTTACAGCTTAGCTTTTGCCAATTAATAATAAAAAAAAGCCTTAGCAATTCCAGAACCTATAATTGGGACTCCTTTCAGTTTGTCCCAATTCACTTTAAGGATATTGAAGGATCTTATGCACTTCAGGCTCTCAAGTTTCAAAGAGAGGGCTGCTGATGAGGTATGTACATAACAGCCGTAGAAGTGATAAGACATATACCTTGATATACACATACAATCATCTAATCTTTCTGGCCCATGGTTTATACAGTTCTTCTTTTAAGGGACTATTATACATGTTTACAATGACATTTTATTTACAGTGTTTGATTTTCCCTAGTTTTGCCTTACCGGCACTTAACTTAAGGTACAGGCTATTCCATTAATGATTTTATTGGCCAAAGAGTAGTGAACTTTTTTTTTGTTCAGCATCATGTTTAAGGATGTGTTTAAACTGATGTAACCCACCTAAAATAACAAACAACATGCTACTGGTCACCATTTTGACAAAAGTATTGGGATAGCCCTCCATTTTGGACTATTTTATGCTTGCAACCAGGCATATTGTTTCTGATTCTGTCAGGTCCTCTGTCTGATCACCTGGGTTTTTTTCTGTTCCGTGTTGTTACATGTCATTTTAGCACATTTTGTGTTTTGATCGTTCTCTCTGCACGCTTACTTTGACACATCTCCACCCATCTTCCCAAATCCTTTCTATTGTTCATTTAAGCCACAATTTCACTCACTTGTTTTTCTTGTTTTGC